ACCCGTAGACCCTAAGCCCTAAACCCTTTTCCCCTAAACCCGTAGACCCTAAGCCCTAAAGCCCTTAACCACTTAGCCCTAAATCCCAAACCGCGCAAAGCGAGTTCCGAAGCGGAGAACTCCTGGCCTGAGCAGTTGGACAAAAGGTGCTTAAACAAGGCCTGCATAGGGGCCTTAATAATTAGAATAGGGTCTGGGGGGGGAGGGGATACTATACTAGAATTTTTCAAGTACTAGTTTAATTAGAATTGGGTTTTGGTGTATATTAGACTACATTTATCAAGTACTGCTTAATAATTAGAATAGGGTTTTGGGGGTATATTAGACTATACTTACAACAAGGAACCCCATAATTGTTTAGGCCCCTACCTAAAACCGTGTGGCATGCAGCTTTGGCCGCGGCGCTTCAGGCTGGTTGTGGCTGATGACGGTATGATGTAGTCTGCTGTGAAGTTTACATCGAAGCTAGCTGCCGCTGTGAGGGTTGATGGGGTTAATAGATGTTTATAGCAGGTTATAGTTCACGGTTTAGGGCATCGCTTTGTGGCTGAGAGGCTCAAATCCGAAGCCTGGATCAAGCCGAGCTGTCCCAGATGCGGCAAGGCCTTGCTTCCGAACATGGCTGCGTTGCCGCCAACCTCGAAGTAGTCACAAGTATGCCTGTACATTTCACCAAAATCCGAAACCTTTTTAACCCCTAAACAGGCAGCACGATCGGATATGGCCTACTTCCTGCTAAACGGATTCTCCCATCCCGCTCCTTTGACACTCTCGGTGCAAAGCCCTGATCCCCAAAAACCAGCAGCCCGCCACCCCCTCTACCAACTCCTTAGCCTTGTGCTTCTTAGGAATTCTTTGTTTCTTACTATAGTACACAAACTAAGGATTAAGATTAAGATTATGGTTCTAAGGGCATTACAGCTCAGTCTTATCGGTGTGAGCCTAGAGCCCCGAAGCCCATACATGTAGCATACAGTATAGCATGAGCATTATTCAAAGACAAGAAGCCCTAAACCCTGAACCTGATATTCTAAAACGAGAGGTATTTTTGGGGCCATAGGATTTTGGGGGCTATTATACTATATAAGTATACTAAGGAACCACCACAATAGCATTGGTAATTCTTGAGGCCCCTATATTAAACATAGGTGCGCAGCTCCAACTTCGCCTCGAAGCAGCGCAGCGGCAGCTGCAAGAGTTGGCAGGAGGCGCCGAGGTGGCGGGCTCGTCTGTCAATAATAAATAATGCCTGAATAACTACAAATGTTATTCCTTACCCTAAGGGTCCAAAGGACCTGATAATCATGTGTTTGGGTTACGGATAGTAGTAGTTTTGTAGGTTAGTATTCATAAAAGCGCATGATTCTTAGGTACTTGGGCCCTTAGGGTTATAGGCTTCTTGGGTAGAAGCATGCTACAATAGACCACAAAGTCCTTTTCTACTGAGACAGCCCAAATGGCTCAAATGCTAAGAGCATGAACGAACCCTCAGGAGCGGTTTACGGACTGTTTAAAGGATTTCAAGGTTCGTGGTGCGACTGCTTCCGCCCCTGCGAGCAGCAGCTTAATCGCCTCAACTGCGCTGTGTTCAAGCTCCACAGAAACGAAAGAGACCCTAAACCCTAAACCCCTACACCCCTAAACCCCAAGGGCATCTTGCCTGCGTGGAATCCTGGCTAAACCCTGAACCCTAGGCCCTATAGAGCCTTCTAGATTTCTGTGCCTTGGCAGGTTCAGCGGCAAGCACGTGTGGAGCATCTTCAAGCTGAAGAAGTCCAGGCATTGGGCTCTTTAGGGTAAGTTTAGCTTACTTACGGGCATATGCTTTGTTGCGAGACTCAACTCGACAACTCGAAAAACTCGGCTCACAGTGTTGTGCTGATGGAGAGGCGTAGCTCGATTTCCGTGGGTTTTGGGCCGTGACGGTGTACGGTGAGCTTCTGACTTATTTGATTTACTTCAAGATGCTGTCTCTCTTCCGAGATCCCAATGTGGACCGGCAGAAGCTGTTTGGCTTGATGTGCGTCTCCACGGATGAATGTTTACTGGACCGCTGCGCCGAGCGCATCCTCCGGACGTCCTGGGACAGTGCCAAACATGTGGCTGCTGCGCCTCTTGACATGGCACGCTCGGCGCCCTGGGACTACTTGAAGCCACAGTCCAGTTCCAGCCATTCTGCTTTGTTGGAGAAGTTGCTCAGTGAATCCCCTTCCGAAGACAGTGTGGTCAACAGTGATTTCCTCTGCGGGGGCCCTGAAAGAATGGAGTTCGTGGAACGCCATTTGCCGGGTGTTGTCAATGGGCACCCGTGGGACGGGCATCCCACGAATGCAATCTCTTGGGACGTATTTTGGCCAGAAGGTGTGGACGAGCCTATTCCGTTCGTGGAGTTGGCAAGGTCCCACACTGGCGACGATCCCAGGCAGAATGCTGAGGTGGCAGAGGACTCGACCGCTGAGGACTACTCCATGCGCGAGTACCAGCCTGTTACGACAAAAGCAGGTGGAAGGCTTTGGAGCATCAGCCTTGCTGCTCCAAGCACGTCCGGGGTGGACGTGACGGGCTTAAGAGCTGCCTACCCCTTCCAGCTCCTCGTGCGCATTGATGCTGGGCGAGAAGCCCTGATCTACGATGCCTTCGAGTACCTCCCGACTCCAGTTGCCGCTTTCGAAATGGACTCGGCTCGGGGCGATCCAGTGACTCCATCCGAACTAGGCCAGATCGAGCAGCTCTTGAAGAGACACTACAGGAAAGTTTCTCTTCTTGTGGGATCCCAGAACGACGATGGCATTCGAACAGAAGGCCCCCATGCCGAGCGTTGTCGACAGCATGGCTCTAGGCTGCACCCCTTGGCGGAATGGAATCGATTCAAGAATTCCCGGGTCCGAAGGGTTCGATTTCCTGTGTCGGCAATTTGTGGCGCCCGACTCCTGATCCAGAATTCGCCCAGGCCACATGAAAGCTTGCCGGCTGCAAGGGGCGCCTTTGTCGTTTCCAGCCTTGGCCAGCGGAGTGCAGACTCTCACGAGGGATGGAGGGCCTTGCCCGGTACAATGGCTGCCATGGGGCCTGAGCTTGAACCCCTAGGTGTTCTCGTGCTGGAGTTGTCGCAGATCGGCATGCATTCTGAGGCAGTCTTTGCAGAAATGCCAGTGTGGGCCTTGCACAAAGACAGCCGCTTGCGGAGACCTTGCTCGGACTGGACACCCGACAATGGCTTTTCCCGCTCACGGCGCCACTACATCGTCGGTGATGCCTCAGAAATGATAGAGCTGAGCAAGGCCTTGGCAACGACATTCCCACATTTCGCGCAACTGCTGCGAATGTCACCTTCCGATGACGGATCGCCTGTTCCTGAGCCCGCACGCAAGATGCCTGCCCACGTGCGTGAATGTCTTCACCGCATGAAGAACACCCTTGCCGCAGACTTGCCACAGTTGTGGCCTTCAAGGACACCCTCCGTACTGTCCCTGGCAAGCCTCGCTGCCCGGAAGCTGGCCAAAGAAGCTGGGAACAGACGCGTTGCCAGTGGAGGGGGTGGAGGCCGGAAGCGGCCCTTTGGTTCGCAGGCACAGGTGCACGACTTCTTGCGGAGGGCTGGAATCAAGAAGCCCGCGACAGTCAATCCCTGCTTGAAAGCTGGAATGCTCAACGGACACATACCCATCCCTGCACACCTACTGACGGCAGAGAACACCAAGCCGTTCTTGAAGCAGGTGCTTCTCAAAGCCGGCTGTTCGTGCTGTGGCAAGACGCTCAAGTGCACCGTCCGTCAAGCACTGAGGCAACCTGTCATCGGGATTGATTACGGAGATGGCGGTGAGGATGGTGCTGTGCAATGCAAAGACTGTGGAGGGAATTATGTTACAGGACTCTGCAACGGGGATCCCAGCTTCGACTGCGGAAAGGGCCACAACCATTGTGTGGAGTGTCCCGACTTCGGAGTTTGCATAGGCGATTACCGAGAAGCGCATTGCCATCGGTGTGGTGACCATTTCTTTGCCGGGAACTATGGCTTCCCTTGCCCCTGCCGTGGCAAGGATTCCGACGATTTCGGGGGCGGCTTGTCGGCTTTTTCTGAGTCTAGTGACTCCGATAAGTATGATGAGGAAATGGGGGATCAGGCAAATGCCGGACCTGCCCCATCTCCCCCTGAGGGATGCTGGAACGGACATCTGCGCGGAGTCGATGTGGCGACGATGCATGCGCAGCTTCAGCTGCAGGTGCAAAAGTTCCAGCCAGCACTCGATAGTCTCGATGGTGCCAGTTTGTCGTCAAAGTCATTGGCTGACCTTGCTGCGCTCTTTGACCGGCTGCGCCCACAACAGCAGCATGAAGTGCGCAGCCAACATTCAGAGGGAGAAGAGGAGGACGAGGACAGCGGAGACGATGAAGTGCCAGACCCACACTCCGACTGCGGATGAAGCTTAGGGTCTTAGACTAGACTAGGGTTTAGGGTAGTTTGAGTTTGGTGGCGCTACTTCCCGGAGTCTGGAAGTGCTGCTTCCCAGCTGATTGGCAGAGTCTGGGTCAACAAAGGGTCATATCGACGAAGTTCCAAGAAGCGTCAGGTGAGTCAAATGAAAGTTTGCCATTTCACTGCGGGAACGAAGGTTCCGGGACGTGGGCTTGGACCGAGGATTCGGCAAACAGTATAGAAACCAAATGTATATAATTACGAATCTTGTGCCTCAGCGTTCCCTATTTTCAATATACGACAAAGGAGCCCAAAACCCTATACTCATTCATAAGGCCGCTACATTAACCCAACCCTTTCACCGACCCGGCACGCCCTGAAGCCCCAAGCCGCTCTAAACTCCTAAAGACCTTTTAACCCTATAGCCCCAAACCCTGAACTGTGTTAATTATAGACGTCGGAGTACTAGCTGCTAATTTCTATGTAATGGCCGTCGCCACATATAAGAAGTTTAATCTCCATGGGTTTGGGGCCTAGGGCTCTTAAGGCTTTGTGGTTTAGGGATGTTGGGGAAGAGGCCTGGATGCGAGGGATGCTGGGGGTTTAGGCCAGAGAGAAAATATCACAGAAACTCCAGCGCAGTACCTTCTGTTTCCATTTATAGTGCCGGAGAACCTGGAAACTACATGAAACTGCACCGTCCTCCATCCTCCTTTCGATTCCTTGGGCATTGGATGTAGCTTGCCGAACCCTAAACCTTTGTGAAAACCTTAAACCCTAAACCCAAACCCTTTGGCCTGAACATGGAAGAAACCCATGATGTCACCAAACAGTCCAGGGAGCCCGGGAATTAGAATCTAAAAATATAGAAACCCAAAGAATTACCCAGACTATTGGGGGGGGTTCCCTTACTTTGATTATTGTACAGGATAATTACCTCAACACCCTATCCTATTCTAATTATTCAGGCCCCTACATTAGCTTTGGGAGCTTCCCTGTTTAATTATGACCATTTTCGCCATACGAAGGCCGTGCGCAGATTGCAAGGCGAGCCCCAGCTGCAGTCAGACCCCCAGAGGTTTTCTTTCGGGTTGTCTGATCAGGGTTCTTTAGGGTTTAGGGTTTTGAGCAGTTTAGGGTGGTTCGAGCATGCCTGGATCGAAGTCTGCGGGAGTTGTGTGAGCGAAGCTTCGGATGGAGTCGGGGCGTCCCGTCCCGCAGTGGGCCTGGGCTAGGTGCGACGCTGGTCTCATGTGGCCGATGCTCTCCCGGGGCCCGGGCTGGAAGCTCTCCTTCGCCGAGAAAAGGAGGCTGGGTCAGGCTACATGAGCTGGATGCTGATGCGTGGCTGAGCCGCCTGTCAGGCACAGGCGCTGCAGCGCAAGGAGGCAGCACGCACCCAGCGGCTGGATGAGGAGGCAGTGTGTGGCACTAAACTGTCAAGCCTGACCCTGAACGCCTTTGAACCCTAAACGCTATGCCGGGTAATCCAGGGTCTGGGTTGGCAGGTGTGTTACTGGAAGAACTGCGGCGGAAGCAAGCCGGCGAGATGCTCAAACGATGGTTGCGAGGAGGAACTATTCAACTATGTCGAATAGGCTTGGCATGATTCGGGATTTAAGGGTTTACAAAGTTTAAAACTGAGTTCTATTGAGACGGAACTCGGTTGCAACAAGAGGCAGCATGCAGTTTTGCATTGCAGCCCCTGCTAAAAACGAGGGCTTATATACCCTAAACCCTATAAGCCTTGCTTGAGCCGCAAGCTTGCGCCTCCCGGCGTCGGGTTTCCTTGAGGTGACCTGGGAGTGCCACGAGAGTCCGAGGCAGGGCCGTCTTCGAGTGTGAGTGTCGAAACCCATAGGCTCCTTGGTAGTTCCTTTTTGGGATTACCCTTTAGGATTCTAGATATGAACCACAAAAAGGAACTACTATGGAGCCTATGGGAAAGCCCCAAGCCCAAAAATAGCGTAATGTCGCTGTATCCTTGCTTTCCGAACTGTACGGTATCTACTTGTCCGTTTCTGGTGAGATCATGCAGCTGTAAACATACCATGAGGAGACTGACCAACGGCCGGTAGGATAGAGCAATGTCTCTGAGAAGCCACGGGATCGGACAAGCTTTTGGGTGGAGCATGGTTTTAGATCGGTTCTGGTGTTCATGTCTGATTGATCACGGGGCTTCTCCAGCGTGACGGACTTGTGTGGAGCCTTGCCTGCCGAGTGCGAGAGTGAGAGTCGAAAGTAGTGACGCGTGTTACCTGCTATATAGTATAACTGTTATCATCATCATCATCACCAAGCCCTAAACCCTAAACCTATGATGAGCTAAGTGGGAGGGAAATTGAAAAAAATCCTATCATCATCTCCTTCTTTCTTTATTCGTATACCCTTAGAGTAAACTGTACCTCTCAGGCGGGGCCGCAGGTAGCGATGGAGATTGAGGCGCACCCGGCCTTGCTGATCGCTTTTCGATCGGTTTTCCGTGCTTTTGGTCATGAGGCCTTGTTGCTCTAGAGGTTTTACGGTTTAGGGCTGAGGGCGGTTTAGGGTGTGCTGCTTCCCAGCTGAGCGGCAGAGTCTGGGTTCCAAAAGGGTTTTCGAGCACGAGTATCCTGTCACCGGCATATTTTCCGGGACGGGATGCACATGAGGGGAGGTAACCCTAAACCCTAAACTCGAAACAGCAGAGACTCCTGGAGGCAACAGACGACGGCAGGCGCTCCGGGCGCAAGCCAAAGAGCTCCGGGGTGCCTCCGGAACTTTTGCTTTGCGCTCTATGAACTGTGGGATGATCGCCCTCATCATGCTTGAGACGGGAAGCTGCTGAGTTCAGCGTCGATTCCAGACAGGACCGTTCACTAATTGGGCCGTTTGGGTTGTTTGGGTTTTTGGGTTTGAGGCGTTGTGTTAACGGCCACTCTTAATAGGACTTACGACCCTACTAAGGTCTAAATCCCTAAACCCTAAATCCTAAGTTGCGCTTTCTCACCCGGAAGCCACGCCTATAATAGAAATCAAAAGCACTAAACGCCCCCCTAAAGTCTAAAGCCCCCCCATACGAAAGCTCAGAGCCCTAAAGCCCGAGTTTCATTTTTCTCACCCCGGAAAGGAGATGGAACGCCTGGCAGCATCGGGGCGCGCGCAGGAGGCCTTCTGTTCTGTGGCTGTTGCTTTTATCCCGGCCCTTGTGGTTTGAGAAAAGGGTTTAGGCCCTAAACCCTAGGCCTTAAACAAAGTTTAGGCAGTTGGACAAAGGTGTCAAAAAAAAACCGAAGTTTAGAGTTTACCAGGCGGGCCTGCACGAGTCTGTGCAGAAGGGTTGCAGGCTTTGGGCTTTCCACTTGAACCGTCAGAGCACCTTTAGGGTTTAGGGCTTAGGGTTTAGTTTTTTTAGGGTTTTAGGGGTTTAGGGTATGCACATGACACAACGGGCCCGTACGGATTTCAACAACAGGCAGGAGCGCATCTCTCCAAATCCACACCAACCATAGATCCCACATGCTCCAGCAAAGGCAAGAAGACTTCCCTTGACTCGGGCTAGCAGCCGTAGCACACACATGCACAGTCCCTCTCCCCCCACACATAACATGGGGCCGACTGTACTGCCCTTTAAGCAACTGAGACGATTTCTGCAGTAGCCCGAAGTTTCTCATGTCCATGCACCGCAGCTACCAGGCATCCACCTCCTGGTGCTGTACAGTTGGATTGCATTCCTCCTCTGGTGGGTCTCCGGCAAGACGCACCAACAGACGAAATGTCGTGCATTGCCCAGGGGCTGGTTCTGGGGAAGATTTGAGATCGTCGTGCCATTCCAAGTCAAGCCTGCTGAAATTCAACATGTATTCGTTGTCTTTGTTGGAGACACTCTGGAACAGGGCGCGAATGGGCTGCATACTTTAGTTTTCAAAAAGCAGCTTTTGGAAGCATCTCTGGCTAAGATGTTACACATAAACGAATAGATAAGCAAAGGGAGTATAGGGTGGAGGGTTTAGGGTCCCTTGCAGTCTAGGGTTTAGGATTAGATAAATAAACATCTAAGCCGACATAACCTACAAATGGGCGAGGTATAGAGACAAAGCATTGGGGCATAAACACTCACACCCGCACCGGCACAGCGACCAGAACTGCAAACCGAGGAAAGACACCATTGCAGACATCACCATAACAGCAACATGTAACACCAGTAGTCGCAACCCCAGCCAGCAAGATTGCCGACAAGAACAACGACAAAACCAAGAACAACAATACTTAGAATAACAAATATAACAAGAACAAGAAGCACCACCACCACCACCACCAACAACAACAACCACAAAAACATCAGCACCCACAGCAACAGCAATAACAGTAACAACAACACCAAAACCAGCAGCAGTAGCAGCAACAACAACCGCCACAGCCACGACGACGACCACGACCACGACGACGACGATGACAACATCATCATCAACATCATCACCGACGACAACGACAGCATAATTTCGGGTCTTATGTTAGTTGAGGGCCTGACTATTGACCATTGCATGCTGCGGGTACCTCAGGCGACGGCAACATTCATGGAAATCAGAATGGTGACATTTGCAGTAAAGCAAATGTTTGTGCGTGGGGCATGATGCGATGCAAGTTCAGTTCCTTATGGGGACGCAAGGCGGAGAACCATGTACGACTTGCTGCGTGCGATTTTGACGTTGTGGTGTCATAGTTACAAGTTGTGTTTGGTTGATTGTGGCATAGCACCCTGCCAGAGTTCGTCATAATTGGCTCTGATCTACAGGTGCCGTGTGTCACATTGCCACAGTGGTCGTGCGATTTGCAATGCGGTTCGATTCGTTGATCGAGCGTCTTGCGACATGGGTATCGTAAGATGTCCAATGCATTAAGGCAAGATCGAGGCATGTTGCATGGGAGTGATTTCACAAAGATGTGTCTGTGACGGCTTAGCGTAACGGCTCATGTGGTCCGGATATTCATCGCTGAACCTGCTTGTGAGCGAAGTATAAACACAGTGCCTCACTCATGCCCACAATCTGGAAGGCAGAAGACAGAACACTGAGACAGCAACTTCTGACCTGCGTTCGCCATGCGGCTCCTCGGCTGGCTCATCAATTTTCGGCTGGTGGCCGGGGATTTTGCTCCCTGGTGCCAACCTGATGCTGGCAGCTGTGTGGGAAAGATTCATCGCTTTGAGAAGCGACCAGCGGCCTTCCCATGCTTTCAAGAGATTCATCCGCGCATGCAGCTGGCAGACTGGGATGGGGATGGGGACGTGGACGTGTTGGTGGGGGAAACCAGATTCATATACAACACGTGGTCTGACTCCCTCCCCGCGGTTATCGCGACTCGGATCCGAAAGCTTGTGGAATGATCTAAATTAGGGCCTATCGGGTCCCCAATATGGTAGGGCACCCTGATGACAAGGACCCCAAAATGAAGCCCTATTTAAGAGAACTACCCATATCCATGCGAATCCTCAAATCCTCCCTGACCAGAAGTTCATGCCGTGTTGGATGCGATGCGTGGTGAGATTGATGAACTTGCTCAGGTCATGTACTCTCAGCATAACATGCTGCTCAATTTCAGTGATGTTCCTACGGAGCGGGTAACGAGGTTAATAAGTTAAGTCGATGCTCTTTCCTTCATGGCTAGTGCTGAGCACGGCCTTCAGGGATTCCGTCGAAAGCGTGTCAGCACGGATTCAAACAAGATGCTTTCAGAAGTTCTTGAAACCAGGTACTATTACTACTGAGGTGACCCAGATTTTTGGTTTGAGATGCGTGCTAAGGGCAGCAGTCGAGTCCCTGACGCAGAATGACACCCCTTGAAACCGTCTAAGGCTAAGTGGGATCCGAACACGAGCTGGCCGCATGGAGTGACCCTGTATGAGCGTCTCCAGAATGACAGCTTCCAATCGCAGAGATTACTTGGAGCAACACTCTCTGGCAACATCGATCTTGCCGTGGTTGATTGGGATGGTGATAGACAGTTGGATTTGCTGCTGTGCTCTGAGATGGATGGCTCAGCCCGCATCAGCTTGTTGAGGCATTCCGAGCTGCCGCTAATGGACGCCGGGGTGGACGATCTGACCCTGCTGGTGGGTGTCAACGGGTCCAGATGCGGAGGATTGCAGGCCGTCGACTTCGACGAAGACGGGGATGTGGATCTTATTGTTCAGCAAAGGTATTTCGAGCGAACTTCACAAACAGTCTTAGTAGAGCGGACCGGCAATCAAAATCCCGTCAACATGTTCGGTGGAAATATCAAAGCCATAGCTGACATAGATGGTGATGGTCGCTTGGAGGTTGTGATGAAAGGTTGGAGCCGTTTGAGCCTTAGCGGTCCCAGCGCTACTCAGCGCCTCCGCTACTTTCGACGCGCCGGGGATAACAGCTTTGTGGAGCCTGCAGAAAACCCTGTCGCCGGTTTTTCTTTGGGTAGTTGGGAGGGTGCCGATGAAAAACTTTTTGTGGCCGACTGGAATTCGGACGGATTGCCAGATCTGATGGTACTGACGTTCCATAACCTGGATGGTGGGGAAAGATTTCGCTGTTACCCGACTTACTACCAACACATCTTGGAAGCTGATCTGATTCACAATTCCGTGATGAACACCTTCGAGGATGTTGATCTCGGCCGCAACCCTCGTCAAAAGAAGCTTAGCCTCGTCGACTGGAACAAAGATGGCTCTTTGGACCTCTTAGTGGGTTGGGACCGGCAGCAAAGCTTGCCGGAGCTGTATGAGAGCCGCCGTGGCAGGGCCCATGCAGTTACTTCAGCTTTCGAGAACGTCACAGCCACCTCTTTGGAACCCCACCTGGGCCCCGATCCCTCTAATGGTTACAGGCTAGCAGCTGCAGACTTTGACGGGGATGGGGAGGTAGACCTTCTCATAGCCAGTGAGGCTGATGGAAGGCTGCACTACCACCGCCAGATCTCAGGCCGTCTGCAAGCAGAAGAGGTATGGCATCCCTTCAGCAATATCGCAGTCAAGTCATACCGGATCGATGATGATCGGTATGAAGGAGAAGATTTCTGTCATTTGGTGCAGCCTGTCTTCCTCGACTGGGATGGTGACGGTGACGTGGATCTTCTGCTTGGCCCTCCTGATGGACGCTTTTTCGAACAGCTAGCCGATGGGACGGTAAAGGAGTGGCCACTGGAGCGCAGCCCACTGCGGAACGTGTTGGTGGAGTTGGAAGAGCTTGATACAGCTAGCTATCATATACGTAGGCAGATGATGAAGGCTTCTTGGAGTTTCGTGGATTGTGATGCTGATGGCGACTTGGACATGCTTCGCCTCTCTCTCTCTTATTCTTATGGAAAGGGCGGACCAAGTTGGAACCCTCGGCTGCAGGCCTGTGAGCACGACAGTACAGGGAAATTGCGATGCGATGATGACTTTCCGTGCTTGGGGACGAATCTCAGCAATTTTCTGACGGGCGCTGGTGCGTTCGGCGAGGTGGTGTCTTTCGACGTGGGAGATGTGACCGATGGCAACCTCAAGTTGATCGCATCCTACGCATGGAGCAACGGCGCTGTGCTTTGGAGTGCTGGCTTTTGTGTTCCCGAAGTGCCCTGCCATGCAAAAGGCTTGTGCACATTCGGACAGAAGGACTGCAGCTGTGTTTCCGGCCACAACTTAAGTGACTGTTCCGGCTGCCAGCAGGGTTTCTACAGCATGCAAGGGCAACTGGGCCAGCTGCACAGTTGCATTGCCTGTCCTGGTGCGGATGGCAAGACATGTCAGGGTCGAGGTTTTTGCTTCGATGATGCTTTTGCGAAGCAGGTTCCGCAAGAGTCCACGGCAGCCTTGACGGCGACGGGCAATGGAACTTGTCACTGCCATGAGGTGCACTTTTTCGGCAATGACGAAGCGGGTCGCAGCAGTTGCATCGACGGCATCTGTCCAGCTGGCACCGAGGAGAAGGATGGTAGGTGTGATCCATGTGGTGCTGGTGCAGCCTCAGTGGCAGGAGACATGTGTAAGAAATGCCTTCCTGGAAAGTACTCGCTCTCTGGAAGTGCGAGCTGTTCAAAGTGCCCTGCAGGGACCATCTCAGAAGCATCTGGGGCTTCAGCATGTGAGGCATGCCCGGCGGGAAGGTATGAGCTTCAACAGCAGTTCTGCCAGGAGTGTTCCCCTGGCTTCATCTCCGTTCCCAACAGTAGCTATTGCACGAAGTGCCCAGCTGGTTTTATGGCACCAGAGTCGGGCAGCAGCACCTGCATCCCGTGTGCTGGCGGCTCCTTCTCCGAAGCAGGTAGTGCCCAATGCCAGGAGTGCTCCCCTGGCTTCATCTCCGCTCCCAACAGCAGCTATTGTTCCCAGTGCCCAGCTGGCTCGATGGCACCAAAGCCGGGCTGCAGCAGCTGCGTCCCATGCGGTGGCGGCTTCTTCTCCGACTGGGGAAGTTCAAAATGTGTGGCCTGTCCGCCTGGCAAAGTTTCAACTTCAGCCAGTGGTGCATGCAGACCATGCGATGCCGGATTCTTTTCCAGAGATGCCCTCACATGTGAACCATGTCCTAGTGGAACGATCTCGAAAGCAGGAAGCAGCGCATGCCAAAGCTGCCCCGCAAATGAAGTATCACTTCCCGAAAGTTCCGGGTGCACACGCTGTGAGGGAGTCTTTCTGCGAGAAGTTGCGGATTCAACGAAGCAGCAGTGCCAAGCTCGCGGTATGGATGTAGTTCTTGCCATCATCTCTTGGATCGCAACTACCGGCCTTAGCTTCCTATGCTTTTCTGGGCTACGCGGTTCGATCCGCGTGGAGGACCTATCGGCGCAAGGCCAGAAGTTGGTGCTGACCACCTCGATGATGCATTGGGTTCTCCCCTGGGCGCTGCCAGAGGCGGGATTGGGGAAAAACCTACTACAGAATCAGATACCTAAATATGGCAAATGATATGATACAAGATGCTATGACGTACTGTGGTTGTGGGTGCCTCTCAAGCTCTCGCAGGGCTTCAGGCTTTGATTCCTAGGTTGCAGTCCCAAGCCAGGTGAGGTTCAGTGGCACCGACGTGCCTGCTTTGGACGAGCGTCGCTTTCGTCTGAAGACTCTGAACTCCTTCCAACTGATGCTCGTCGATGACAGCACGGAACTGTTGCCACTGGACACCTCGATAGGACGCATTCGCCTGAAGCCCCTCCGCGGTTTTCTGGTGACTGGCTTCTGGAGATGTCCCCTCCTCCTTTGGTGCTTACTGCTCGTGGCAGCAGTTCTGGGACTCGCCAGCCAACTACGCTTTGCGTTGCTGTTGCTGGTCTGTGGCTCGGGCCTTGGTGCCGGCGCAGTGGGCTTTGCATTGAGGCAGAGGCCAGGAGGATTGCACAAGCTGGGGGAACTCCGAAACTGCATACCTGGAGCCAAAATGATCCTATACCCTAAACCCCCCGATCACTCGAAGAGAGACGACTTTTTTATGATCCCTGCTCGTGAAACTCGGGATCTCCCAGGCAAGACCGCACCTCTCTGGAAAAGCGCCGCCGTCAGTTCTTCAAGCAGTGGCCTCCACTGCTACAGCGCTGCAGCCGGGGCCCAGACCGTTCCATCACCGCAGGGCAGCTTCAGGATTTCTTGCAGCGGCCCGGCTGATAGGCTTCAGTGTTTAGGGTAATATAGGGGCCTAAATACTTACCAATACTATTCTTAGGGTTCCTTATTAGAACTGTAGCATAATATACCCCAAACCTTATTCTAAATATGAAGGTCCCTACATTCACCAAGTACAGGCGCGTGGGAGCATGGAGGGGTTTAGGCAGATGCAGGCTTATGACTGTTTGGTGTGTGGTCGCTTCAGTAGCAGTACTCGCATTAGCCTGGGAAGAGTCGATTGACTTATCCGAGGTTTTGCCGGGTATGAATCAATGCATGTTAGTTCTGCGCATTCTGCATGCGGAAACCGTTGCCGATCGAAGCACTCTTATTGTTCAAATGCGTTTCTTGTGATGATAAGAGAGGGAGGTAGTCGGAGAGACTGGCGACACATTGCTGTTGCTGTTGCATGAAAAGGTTCTTTGAGACCTTCGTCAAGGAGCGATCCATGTACTACCTTTGCTCCAATATCGTCAAGCCACTCACGAAGCCTTACCAGCTATCCTTTGCGGAGTTGGTCGGTCCCAAAAACATCCGGTGGTTCGTCAGTCACTTTTGGGGCATGCCAGTGCGTCATTTCATGGACGCCGTTCGTAAGCATGCCCTGTCAGATCAAGAAGAGTGGCGGGAATCTGCATATTGGATTTGCACATTCAGCAACAGTCAGTGGCATGTCAAGGAAGAGCTGGGCAATGGCCAGTGGGAGCAATCTTCGTTTTATCTTGCTCTTACAAGCCCTGACTGCAAAGGAACTGCCATGGTTCTTGACGAAGGTGTCCAGCCACTGCAGCGTATTTGGTGCCTTTTCGAAGTGTATCACACGATTTGTTTATCACGAGATGGTCGTTCTCAAGGCCTGCTGCTCTGCACCTCCACGGGTGTGTTGCAAGAGGGCAAGGCAAGGTTCACGACCAAACAGTTTTGGTAATAGAAGTCCGAAAGATTAACGCTAGTGTTGCTGAGGCTTCTTTATCATAAGTCTATGTTACAAGATAAATACCCTAGACTCTAAACACTGAGCGGGGTTTTAAATGGTGGCTGAGGCTGCGGCTAGGGGGATGCCCTTGAACAGCCCTACGAATGTGGTACACCTTTAGCTGTAGGTTTTAGATTAGGGGTTAAGGAATTAGAGGTTGAGAGGTTCCGGCACAAGGGGCTTAGCGTTTAGGTACTGTTACAACGTAAACAGTAAGCATATGAACGGCTTGGGAAAATCAAAAACTAAACCTTTCCACACCCTAGACTCCTAGACCCCACTGAACCCTAACCAATGAGCCCTAAACCCTACACCCACCCCGAAACCTCTTTAAAGCTTGCAGAGGCCGGTGCGGATGTCGCTGTGGCCGTGGCAGAGAGGGCCAAAGATTTGGACACGCGGTCGGCCAAGGCCCCCTTGCTGGTGCTTTTAGTTTAGGGTTTAGGGGTTCCGCTGTTTAGGGTCTAGGTGTTCAGGGTTTTGGGGCTTTAGGGTCTTTAAGGTTTAGGGGCTTAGGCAGAACCGGGGACTGCAACACAGAACCCTGAATACAAGGAGGATCCTTAAGCCGATAATTCTTGCATCCACAAAGGCCACATCAGAGGAAGATCGGCAGATGATCCATCGGCTCATAGAACAGATGCCAGGCGGGCTGTTTAGGGTTCGGGGTTTGGCCTCTAGGGTTCGAAGTGGTTGCGGCCATGACGGCTTAAAAAAATCGTAGGAAATCCCAGCCCGATCCTGCAAGTAAATCGGGTGGATGTTGTGATGACCCCGTTTAGGAGGTTTTGAAGCCATGAACTCCTTTGTGCGGGAGACGATCTACTATGCTTTGGAAGCTTCCCATCAGCACTATGAAAGTGCCTTCAAGAAGTTGGTCACGGAGTTTGCTGCTACACGGGGTGCTTTGGTTTCCTCGACGTTGCCTTTGCCTACACTTCTCACCGGCCGTTCCACCCATGGAGAGTTCCGGAGTGGAACAGGAAATTCCAAAGGCTCATAGTCGTTCCATGTTCTTGGAGTATCTGTGTAGTTCATATGCATGAAGGTTTTCCGCCAAGAAGAACACACATAGTGTTCGCGACGGGCATACCTGCACGCAGAGTATGGTCGGCAGCAGCTGATGCAGGATGTTATTTCGCCCATGTTCCTATGGGTATTTAGTGAAGGCCTACATGACCTTCGCCTGTTCCCACAAGAGGCTCTTAAAATCGGTTGTTAAGTTATTTATGCGGATGACAACAGAACTAGACAAGATTGCTTCTGAAATGAGACGTAAATGAGCATCTTCAAACATATTAATTATCTGGGTGTCAAATTTGGCTTGTTTTCTTTGTTCATCTCTTTTTTTCAATTTATTGTTCTATTTCTCTCTCTTTCTTTCTATTTTTTCATTTGGAGTACTTGCAAAAATTTCCAGATAATATGAGATAAAAAAATATCTTGTTCTGAGATGGTCTCTAATATTATTTGATATTTATATATCGAAATATTCGTTTATATATTCTTTATCTTATTGATTTATCGATTATTTATAATATTTACATAATTATGAAAGTTGTTATTATTATATTAATATTAAAACAAAATTATGAAATCGAATATATAAATAGAATTCTCTGAAAATGAAAGTTATTATTATGACATATGGTCAAATTATAAGATATAGATATTTATAATCGATATTATTTCTTAATAGAAGAGATATGATTTACGATCTAAGAATTTAAATAATTAAGATTAATATCTCTATTATCTCTAACAATTATCTGACGTGGCTATTATTTATATATATATATGATATTAATTTAAAAGAACGAATATATATGATATAAATCTATAAATTCTCTCTTAATTTATAATTATATGGGAGATTCTTAATCGCACTATGCGCTTCGATAATATGATTTTATAATATTTC